GACCTTAGTGTACTCTGAGACTGTTGTTGAGTGGCCTCAAACCCAGAATTGATGCTGAATTTGAATCTGTATCAATATGGCGAACACCACTAGCCCCTACTTCCTGTCTCACTAGAACCTCCCTATGCAACTCCTGTACTATCAGAGGCTCTTTCAATGACAATTAGCAGGTAGCTAATAGGTGCAGGTGGATCTCAGGAAGACTTGGGCCTTTTGCTGACCTGCCCCTGGGCTCAATGCTGGTGGAAACCAATTTGGTGTGTAGCTAGGCCTCTCCCAACACACCAAGAGGCAGTTACAAATTGTGAGTTGCTTAATAGCTTCAAATAGGCAACCCAGGATTGGTCACAAGCAGCACCTGACATTGACTAACACTGGCACTAGATCCCCTTCTAAGGGGCCCCAGAACAAACACAACCAGTGATTCAGACCACATGAGAGTATGACCCCATTAACTCCACAAGTGACACACACAAAGGGAGATATCAGCAGACACTAGAACCTATTTGGGCAAATTCAGCTTTGTGGAGTCAACCCCCCACACAGCAGCTTATACATTGTGCTCATGGTCAATCCTCATAGACAGCCAGAGAGGTAATTCAGCTCACAGATGGGCCAACAATAATCAAGACTCAGCTACAATAGGAAGGCTCACATGACATACACAAGGGACATTCTTGGGGCACCTACCTCAGGCAATAAGGAAGACTGCCCTTTTGAGCCCCAAGGACACCTACTACATAGTCTTTATTATTACCTCTAAAGGAACTAGAAATAAAAAACCCCAAAGTGAGTAGAAAAGAGGAAATAATAAAGACTAGAGAGGAGCCCACTGGCATGGCTCAGTGGTTGAGCATCGACCTATGAACCAGGAGATCATGGTTTGTTTTCAGGTCAGGGCATATGCCCAGGTTGCAGGCTCAATGCCCAGTAGGAAGTGTGCAGGAGGCAGCCTATCAGTGATTCTCTCTCATCATTATGTTTCTATCTCTCTCTCCCTCTCCCTTCCTCTCTGAAATCAATAAAAATATATTTTTAAAAAAGACTAGAGAGGAAATAAATGACATAGAGACTAAAAAAAAATACAAAAGATTAGTGAAACAAGGGCTGATTATTTAAAAAGATAAACAATATTAACAAACCTTTAACCAAGCTCAAAAAGGAAAAAAAGAGAGAGGACTCAAATAAAATCAGAAATGAAAGAGAAGTGATAATGGCATCACAGATACAAAGGATTGTAAAAAAATATTATGACAATTATGCCAACAAATGAGACAATCTGGAAGAAATGGATAAATTCCAAAAAACACAATTTTCAATAACAGAATGAGGAAGAATAAGATATCTGAATAGACCAATTACAACTAATGAAATCAAAGCAGTATTCAAAACACTCCCAGCAAACAAAAGTCCTGGACTAGGTGGCTTCACAGATTAATTTTACCAAACATTCAAAGAAGACCTAAAACAGATCCTTCTCATACTATTCCAAAAATTTCAAGTTTAGAGAGGACTCCCAAGCTCATTCCAAAAAAAGGTAAAGACACTACAAAGAAAGAAATATATATATAGGTCAATATCCCTGATAAACGTAGATGCAAAAATACTCAACAAAGTATTAGCAAACTGAATCCAGCAATACATTAAAAAGATCATACACCATGATCAAGTGGGATTTATTCCCGGGATGCAAAGTTGATACAATATCTGAAAATCAATTAATGTGACATGCTACATAACCAAAATGAAGGATAAAAATCACATGATCATATCAAGAGATGAAAAAAAGCATTTGACAAAATCCAGCACCCATTTATGATAAAAATTCTCATCATAACTCAACATTTTAAAGGTCATATATGAAAAACCCACAGCTAACCTCATACTCAATAGGGAAAAACTAAAAATGTTTCCCTTAAGATCAGATATAAGACAGGGATGTCCGCTTTCACCATTCTTATTCAACATGGTACTGGAAGTCCTAGCTACAGCAACCAGACAAGAAGAAAAAATAAAAGGCATTCAAATTGGAAAGGAAGAAATAACCTCTCATTATCTGCAGATAACATTATACTATATATAGAGAATCCTAAAGACTCCACCAAAAAAAAAAAAAAAAAAGAAAGAAAGAAAAAAAGAAAACTACTAGAATGGATAAATGAATTCAGTAAAGTAGCAGGATAGAAAAGTAACATTCAAAAATTGGTTGCATTTTTATATAACAATAATGAACTATCAGAAAGGGAAACCAAGAAAACAACCCCATTTACAATTCCATAAAAAAATACCTGGGAATAAATTTTATCAAGAATGTAAAAGACATGAACTCAGAAAATTATATGGCACTGAAGAAAGAAATAGAAGAAGATACAAATATACCATGTTCCTGGATAGAAAAAATTAATATCATTAATATGTTCATACTACCCAAGGCAATCTATAGAGTCAATGCAATTCCTGTCAAAATACCAATGGTGTATTTCACAGAACTAGAAACAGTCCAAAAATGTATATGGAACCATAAGAAAACCCTGAATAGCTCAGCAGTATTGAGAAAGAAGAACAAAGTTGGAGGTTTCCTGCTACCTGTTATCAAACTATACTATAGGGACATACTAATAGGGACATCATGGTACTGGCATAAAAACAGACATATATATATCAATGGAACAGACTAGAGAGCCCAGAAATAAACCCACACCTATGTGGTCAATTAATATTTGACAACGGAGGCAAGAACATAGAATGGGGTAAAGATGATCTATTCAATAAATGGTGTTGTAAATACTGGACAGATACATGCAAAAAAAATAAAACTAGATCATCTCTTCACACCATATTTAAGAATAAACTAAAAATGAATTAAAAACCTAAATGTAAGACTCGAAACCATAAAAATCCTAAAAGAAAACATAGGCAGTATCTCGGACATTTCTATAGCAATATTTTTTCTGATATATCTCCTTGGGCAAGGGAAACAAATGATAAAATAAATGAATGGGACTACAGCAAACTAAAATATTTTTGCACAGCAAAGAAAACCAACAAAGGGGAGAGATAGCCTAAATGGGAGAGCATGTTCACCAATGATACATCTGGTAAGTGGTTAATATGCAAAATTTATAAAGAACGCTTACAACTCAACACCAAAAACAAACAAAAAATAAACAAATAAAAAATACAATTAAGAAATGGGCGAGGAACCTGAGCAAATACTTCCCCAAAGAGAACATACAGATGGCCACTAGACATATGAAAAGATGCTCGATGGCAGAGAAATGCAAATTAAAACCACAATGAGATTAAAACCATAAAGCAAATTAAAATCACCTCACACCTGTCAGAATAGCTATCATGAATAAAGCCACAAATGATAAGTGTTGGTGAGGATGTGGAGAAAAGGGAACCCTCATGCACTGTTGGTGAGAATGCAGACTTGTGCAGCCACTGTGGAAAACGGTATGGAGTTTCCTAAAAAAATTAAAAATGGAACTGTCTTATGATCCAGCGATTCCACTTCTGGAGATTTGTCCAAAGAAACTTAAAACACTTATTTTATTGGAAAGAATTATGTTCATTGCAGTATTTTTTATAATAGCCAAAACATGAAAGCAACCTAAGTGACCATCAATAGATGAGTGGGCCATAAAAAAGAATGAAATCTTACCATTTACGACAGTATGGATGGACCTAGAGGGTATTATGCTCAGTAAAACAAGTCAGAGGAAAACAAATACCATATGGTTTCAATTATATGTGGAATCTAAAGAACAAAATAAATGAATAAAATTGCAACAGATTCATGGACAGAGAGAGTGAACTGGTTGTTGCCAGAAGGGAGGGACATTGGGGGACTGGGTGAAAGAGGTGAAGGGATTAAGAAGTTCAAATTGGGCCGAAACCGGTTTGGCTCAGTGGATAGAGCGTCGGCCTGCGGACTGAGAGGTCCCAGGTTCAATTCCGGTCAAGGGCATGTACCTGGGTTGCGGGCATATCCCCAGTAGGAGATGTGCAGGAGGCAGCTGATCGATGATTCTCTCTCATCGATGTTTCTAACTCTCTATCTCTCTCCCTTCCTCTCTGTAAAAATTCAATAAAATATATTTTAAAAAAAAAAAGAAGAAGAAGTTCAAATTGGTAGTGACAACATAGTCATGGAGATGTAAGTAAAACATACTGGTAGGGAATATAATCAATAATATTGTGATAACTATGGCACCAATTGATGGGAATACTATGTAAAGTATATGATTGTCTAAACACTAAGCTGTAAAACTGACACCAATACAAAATAAAGTTGGAAGAAAAAAAAAAGAATGCATTTTTAAAAATCTAAAAATGTAGTTCAATACATGTTTTAAAAAACACTGTATATTTTATGATTCCATTTATAGGGAATTCCCATGAAAAGCAAGATTATAGAGACACAAAGCAGATCGCTGGTTTCCTGAGCTGGGAGTGGGAATGAGGATTGACTATAAGTGAGCATAAGGGAGATTTTGGGGTGATGGACATGTTCTAAAATTGGATTATGGTGATAATTACACAACACTGTAAATTTACTAATGATCATTGAATTGTCTACTTAAAATGGATGAGTTTCACAGTATGTAAATTGAACCTCAATAAAACAACTCTAAAAATAGGCCTCCCCAGGGAAACTAGTTTAGTTCCCTAAACTAGTTCTGAGTTTTTTGGCAATTATTTTCAACATTCTAAGCCTAGATAACCAATATTATATTCAAGACTTGTTCATGGAAATTCAAAAATTAAATGTGTCCCCAAAACACTCAAGATGAACACACAGCAGTCCTCAATATTTAACGTCATGGCCATTCTGGAAAGAAAGAGTCCAAGTTCAGTGCCATCAGTGTTTCTGGCTGCCTTCCAGGAGGGAGGCTGGAGTGAGCTTTGCCCTGGGTGACACTCTTCCTTGTCACTGATTAACCAGCTTTGTAGGAAGGCTGCTCCACCAACATCCTGCTCTGCCTGGAGTTGATACCTGGCCAAGCGTCAGTGAGCAGGAAACATGTCCTCTCGCTACCACCAAGCTGCCAGTGACAGCTACCTGGAACTTCTGAAAGAGGCGACCAGGAGGGATCTGAACCTCTCTGATGAGGATGGCATGACGCCCACACTCCTGGCCGCCTACCACGGGAACCTGGAAGCCCTGGAGATCATCTGCAGCAGAGGGTGAGTGCCGCCTGGAGCTTCCCCTGGAAACTGTTTCTGTAGGGTTTGGCAGACCAGCAGCAAGAGCAGGGAATTCAGTGAAAATACTTTACCCTCCTTCTAGACTAAATAATTGTCTTTCTGGAGAAAGGGGGAACATTGCCTGGAGATGCTCTCTTTACTCACTGAGAACTGGCAACGTGGGGCAGGCTCGTCCTCTGTGAGCCGCATACAGGGGCGAAACCCTGAACTCTAAGGCATGTTATCACCCTCATGGGGAAGATATTTTAATTCTGTGCCTTAAAAAATGTTGTCCATAATATAAATGGTTGCCCCTTTGAAAAAGAGATCACTGTTTTACTTGGTTTTAAGATGTCAACCCTGACTGGAACCAATGATGTCATTTTATTTTTTTATCTCTGCCATTAAAATCCCATAGCCTTCTGTTAACTTTTAATCCTAGGGCGGGTCCATGATTCTGAGATGAAGTTGCTGACTTTACAAGCTGTAAAAGAGACCTTAAGTCTGTCTTACCTTCATCACCTCTCTGGCAGTCAGACACATCCATGTACAACCCCTCCCTCCTCCCTACAGATTCTAGCTCAGAGCCAGCTAGCTCTTTTCTTCTGCACGTTAACAGAGGGGCCAGGCTGTGTTGGCAACCATAACCCAAGAGGGGGTAAAGAAAGCAAAAAGTGTGAACAAAGGAGCTCAGTGAGTTTATTTCAATTCAACACTTGTTTATTTATACATGTCAGCTATGTGTCAGCCATTCTGCTAGCTGCTGGGGATGCTGCAAGAGACACATATTGTCCTCATGGTGATCGGATTTGAGAGAGGAAGACAGAAATTAAGTCATGTATTATATGTGCTACAAAGGGGGTGAGCAAAGGCTTTCCTGGAGCATTTCAGTTGGGATTTGAAGGATGAGAAGGAGGTGGCCAAATGAAGGTGGGAGGAGGAGGTTTCCACGTGAGAGCCCTGTGCACTCTCGGAACTGAAGAAGTTGAGTATGGCTGGTCATGGCCTGAGTGAGAGAGGCCAAGTTGTAAGAGACAAGAGCAGATCACAGAGCCTTGTAAACTCTGTGCGGGGCACGGGCAGCATTGCCATGGGTCTGCACAGGGCCGCACCGGGTAGATTTGTGTTTGCCAGATTTGCTCAGGCAGCTGTGCAGCCATAAGAGAGAAAGCCTGGTCTCTCTTACTGGTCTAGATGAGAGATGAGCAAGGGTAGAGCAGTGCTAATGGGAGATATGAATGGATTTGATGGCAGTTTAAATGTACAACTCATTATGATTGACTGGATGTTGGGCAGGTGGATAAAGGAGCAGAGGATCAAGGCCCCAGGTTCTGGCTTCAACATCTTGGGAGTGTTGGCACCCTTTATTGAAGTAGGGCACTTTAGGAAAAGTTAGAAGAACCAAAGGCAGTGGGCAGAGTTTCTGAGTTGAGAACTGAATGAGGAAGTCAGTGGAATGGCGCTTTCCCATCCCTTCTGCTGATGACACTTTGCCCCACCCACATCCATCAGTGTTCTCCGGATCATAACACCCTGCCAGCTCTCCCCTCTCCCAAACTTTCTCTACTCAGAGTGTTCCACCTCTCCAAACGCATGATGGCAGCTCCTTCACAACTGTGGAAGCCCTTGCTCCCTTTGAGGTCCAATTTAAATGGCAACAGCAATGCCTAGGTGTTCTCTCTCTCTCTCTCTCTCTCTCTCTCTCTCTCTCTCTCTCTCTTTCTCCCTTCCTCCCTCCCATCCACCCTCCCTCCCTCTCTCCCTATCAATCTTTGTCTCTCTCCTTTGGTATGCCTAAAACATTATCTTATGCTTATTATTCTGCTGGTCTTTATTTATGACAAATGTAACTTAAGCTGAACCCAGAAAATAAACCATATATATGCACACAAATTATAAAAGAAAAATGTTGTATAATGTCATGCTATTAACAATTGTATGTTGTATATCCTATATAATAAAGAGGTAATATGCAAATTAACCATCACACCCTCGCACAAGATGGCTGCCCCCATGTAGTCACAAGATGGCCAGCAGGGGAGGGCAGTTAGGGGTGATCGGGCCAGCAGGTGAGTAGATAGGCCTCGATCAGGCTGGCAGGAGAGTGGTTAGGGGGTGATCAGGCTGGCAGGCAGAAGCAGTTAGGGGCAATCAGGCAGGCAGACAGGCGAGTGGTTGGGAGCCAGCAGTCCTGGATTGTGAGACGGATGTCCCCTGAGGGGTCCCAAATTGAAGAGGATGCAGGGTAGGCTGAGGGACACACCCCGCCCCCTCCCCAGTGCACAAATTTCATGCACCAGGCCTCTGGTATAATATATAGCTACACTAATAAAAGACAAAGATGCTAATTGACCGTACCTTCGCTATGCCCTAAGCCACACCCACCAGCCAATCAGAGCAACTATATGCACATTAACCCAACCAAGATGGTGGCCGGCAGCCATGGAGCTGGAGCAAGCAGGAGGCTTGGTTGCCTGGGCGATGGAGGAAGCCAAGCTTCCCACCTTCCCTGAGCCGGCTGTGGCCTCCGCTCATGGCAACAAAGTTTCAATTATAGAAGACAAATAAATCCCAGATACCTGCTTCCAGCCAGGCTCCACTGGGAGCTTGGGTGGCTGGGGGTTGTGGCCAGCCTGCAAACAGCCATCAGCCCCTCACTCAGGCTGGCCACACCCTCATGGGGTGAGGGTCCCCACTGGGGGGCTTAGCCAGCCTGAAAATGGCCCTCAGCCCCTAATCCAGACCGGCCAGGCACTGCAGCAGGACCCCCACCCTGAAGGGGCTGTGGCCAGCCTGTAAACAGCCATCAGCCCCTCACCCAGGCTGGCCAGGCACCCCAGGGGGGACCCTCACCGTTAAGGGGCTGTGGCCGGCCTGCAAACAGTCATCAGCCCCTCACCTAGGCTGGCCAGGCACTCCTATATAATAAAAAGGTAATATGCAAATTGACCCTAATAGCAGAATGACTGGGAATGACTGGTCACTATGACAGACACTGACCACCAGGGGGCAGATGCTCAATGCAGGAGCTGCCCCCTGGTGGTCAGTGCGCTCCCACAGGGAGAGCTCTGCTCAGCCACAAGCCATGCTAATGGCTGCCAGTACAGCGGTGGTGGTGGGAGCCTGTCCCGCCTCCTCAGCAGCACTAAGGATGTCCAACTGCAGCTTAGGCCTGCTCCCCGCTGGCAAGTGGACATCCCTCGAGGGCTCCCGGGCTGCCAGAGGGATGTCTGACTGCCAGCTTAGGCCCAATCCCCCAAGTAGCGGGCCTAAGCCAGCAGGTGGTCATCCCCCGAGGTGTCCCAGACTGCGAGAGGGCACAGGCCAGGCTGAGGGACCCCCCCTGAGTGCACAAGTTTTTGTGCACCAGGCCTCTAGTAGTGTATATAAATATACATGTATAGGTATTGTATAAATGTGTGTATATTTATACACACACACACACACACAAAATGATATCTAAGTAGACATTTTTGGTAGCATCCTTTTTTTTTAAACCTCAGTATATAATGACAATTTTTCTCTGTGACTATACATTCTTTTATAATTTAATTTTTAGGGACTTGTTATTCAAGGCAATAAATATATTTCTTACTAAGTCTCTTTTCTGGATATATAATTTGTTTTCCATTATTTAAACTCTGCTGTGATGAGTACATTTGTACATAAATCTTTGCTCTCATTTTCTTGAGGTTAACTTCTCCAAAGTAAGATTTAAATTGACATGTGCACAATTTAAATAGTTTTTTGTGTATATTGACAAATTATTCTTTAGAAAGTAAGTACACATTTTTGTCAATGTCATAGGTCCAAAATGATATATCATGGTGGCTTTAAGGCTCCTTTCCTTGGTTACTGGTGAAGTTGAAAATTCTTTTTATGTTTAGTGGCCATATTTCTACTTTTGTGAACTGTGTGTTTATAATCTTCTTCCACTTTTTAAACAATTTTTTCCATTACTTTTCAGAGAGAGTGAAGGGAGGGAGGGAGAGAAAGAGAGAGAGAGAGAGAGAGAGAGAGAGAGAGAGACATTGATGTGAGAGAGACACATCGATTGGTTGCCTCTTGCATGCGCCCCAACCAGGGCGGGGAGGGAAGCTGCAAGCCCAGCCAGGGCTTGTCCCATGTTTTTATTGAGATCTTCAACATTTCTCATCGATACATAAAAAATTATTTTTAAAGTTATAATACCAGTCTTTTGTCATGATGTTACAAATATTTTCACAATTCATAATTCACATTTTTACAACAAATATTTTAAATATAAATGAAAGTATGTTTTTAGCAGTTTTTAAGTTTTATTTATTTTATTAAATTATTTATTTTGAATACTTAATTCATATATTCTTTATTTTGATTTAAGGCTTGAGGTTTTGATCTCATTATACCTTCCCCAAGTCGTTAATCACTTATCTCAACACAATTTGCTATACAGTTCACCCTTTTCCCATTTATTTGACAAGGTAATTTCTCTCAATGCAATCTCAAAATCCAGTCCATTAAGTTGTATTTATTAAACACTGTTGGCAAATTCTTCTGGCCCTATTTCTTCTAGTCCTTCCTTCTCAACTCTTGTCTTCTGATTGGTCTAGAACATCTCAGATTTTGCTTCCTTCTCCCAGAAGCATTTAAGACTGGTTGTGGTAAGTTGGCCCACTATAGGCTGAAAAAAATGTTTTCTGAGGGTTTTCCTAAGTCCCCTCGCATTTTGACCATAGCCAATCTTCAGGAACCTGTGTGAGATCCAATTGCCAATTAGATTTAAGGGAGCTAAAAAGGGAAACCAATTAAAAATTGAATTTAGAAGTTAATCAGTCACTGAGGTCTATTCCAGTCTGATGATTTCAGTGTTTATCTGTCACTACCCAACTGAGACCATGTGGTGACCATTAATATCCAAACTCTGCCTTTGTTAAGAAAAAAACTGTTTTGCTTTCTTAGTTAAATTTAATGATGGAAAGTAATAGCCGGAACCGGTTTGGCTCAGTGGATAGAGCGTC